ATTAACACATTTTGTAGGCTAATTGTAACTAAATAACTTAATAAGGTCCATAATTGTTTTTTAAAGATATTTTAAATCAAACAGTTTTTAAATGTCACTTTTTGAGATTATGTTGTACGTTTTGTAAAATTATAATTATTTTCAATTTTCAGACAGAAAAATAAGTCATTTAAGTGTATAATCGAAGTACAGGAGTTTTTTTTTTACTTATTAGAAAATTAATTTTCGTATAATAATTATTTTTAATGTTTTGTACCGGTTGTACCAGAATAGCATCTGCAAATTCTGCATTTTCAGTGTTAGACACTTTCCTTCTAAAATACTTATTAAAAAGTTAGCCCATCGTGTTTATATTGTCATAACTAAATTTTTAACATTTATTTTAAATATTATTGACACTAACTTTCGTGAATTTGATGATTGCTGTAGATTTTCGCACAAAACTTTCCAATTTCCATCAAAATTTTATCGTCCTTATAAATTTTTTTTTGATTTCTAAAACCAAATTTACTAATTTGTTAGTTACTTTATTGTCAAATTGTCACACAATATAATTACAACTGTGTCAAATTTTAAAATTTCGAAATGAAAATTTTACTTATACAAATTAAGAATAAGAATACCATAATAACCTCTGGTGTACCCGAATAACCCCGGTTCACGGTATTTAGATTTTCTCGCGGTTTTTTTTTTAGAATATATCTATAGTTGAGCTACTTTCAATTACATAAGTTAAAACTATATCGAAATCGGAAATAATTGATCGCAGTTGCCATGCAATTAGATCTAAAGCTTTTACGGAAACATCAATTTTATCGATAACGGAAGTCGTGGATTTTTTTTCTACACAGAATCATTACATCCTGTCAATTACATCTGGAATCGACATAATCGTTTTGAAATAGTCACTTTAGAACAAGGATGATTAAGTTAAAGACAATTCATTGAGTAATCCACAAATTACTACACTTAAAGTATTTTTATCGAGGCTTTTTTCTGAAAAAAAAAATATATATATATATATATATATATATATAATTATACTCTCGCTAGCTTCAAAGATAGAAAAAATCGGATGAAGATGTCGGGAAACTACTTAAATTGCAATAAAACTAACTTACACAGTGTTTCATTCATTTTTTCCCCTTTTCATTGAAAAAAAAAAAATAAAAATATATGAAAGAAAATATAATTCACAAGTCCGATATCAGAAAATATTTATCTTGCCTCTTATATCCTATCAAAACTATAATGATGTAATAAATTATATGAAGTTATAGTGCAATAAGAAATGATTCTTATTTATTGCACTGTGTGTAAATTTCATTATCTATATAGATATAAAAAAATCCGGTAAATCGAATGATGAACGGTTAATGATTGGAATTTAGAAAAATTTTAACTACCATAATGGTTTTTTTTTTCATTTTCTTGAATAAATATTTTCTAAATTATACTTCTTTAGAGATAAAGTATTTAAATCATATATGTTTCCTTAATCTTTACATCCTGAGACATGCATTTTGCTGATAATATTCCGCAATGTTACTCCCACGTAATTCAAAAGAGATTAAGACGTGCTTCTAAAATATAGAACAAAGCGATAAATTTACAATTTGAATTTTAAGTGACAGAGATTTTAACTTCTTAGAAAATATATATATTTTTGAAAAGAAAAGAAATATTCAATTCATAAAATGTGTTCTGGTTTAATTTTGATTTTTCATCTTCCGATATTATCTAACACTAATAAGAAAAATAAATTATAATAAGCAAAAATTCCTCAAGTAACTGTAAATTTAATTTTAACCCGACGAGAGAAAGGTCGGGTGTGATTTTTATTTCTGCGGATAATTTGAATACGGCATGCTTAATTATACTGTCATCTACAATGGCTACGCGGAAAATGGTAAAAAATCACGAAGCTGAAGTACGCAACGTTTATGATAAACGATTTTTTAAGAAATAATTTTTTAAAATAAAAATTCTATAATTTTTTGCCTAAAAATTATTTTTTTTATATATATATTAAAATTATATTAAATTGTTTTTATATTTATTTTTTTATTTTTATATTTTCTCTAAAAATTGAAGGTCAACGAAAATTGACATACCACCTGATATAGACAATGCACAATAGTCAAGAAAACTTGTAAAATTTATGCCAATATAAATATACCATATTATATAAATGGTCACGATCACGATTTTAGATCTTGAGCAGGATAATAAAATCGCGCACCGCGTTTCCTTTTAATCGCGCAAAATCCCCTCAAGTGTAAAAGAAAGGATATTTCTTCTAATAAACGCCTGTTTTTTTTTTTTTAAATATGACTTTCAATCTGAGTATATATGTATACTATATCAAGAAGAAAATATTTATTATTAGGAAAAAATAACGTGAGAAGATGAAAAAGATGATAAAGAGGGATTAATTATTATTCGTTTCTTTTTTTTCCCAACTTATAATAATATATCTAATTCCATCATTGCCACACCTAAAAACCATTGAGAATCTGCTTTGCAAAAATATATGTGTACAATATTTCTTTTGCCTCTTGGGATTTAATTATTTTTATATCATTTATTTTAATCGCACAAACTTTATATTACAAAAGAATATAAACCATCTAGTATATCTGCCACAACATCTACACATGATAAAATCGTGCAGGTGTTAAGAAATATTTTCTTTTTTTTTCATTTCACTAAATTCTGTAAATTGAAAATACAAATTTTTTTATTTACCAAAAAAATATATACAGGGTGATTTTTATGCTCCGGACCCCACTTGGAAAGATTCCCCGGAAAGTGTCCCCTGGAGGTTCTATCAGAATTCCGCCGGAACTTCCAACGTAATTCCGTCGGAGTTCCAAAGAATTTCCTATGGGATTCCGACGGAGTTCCGACGGAATTAGGACTCTAAAAATTTTGAAAAAAATTAATCGGAATTCCGTCGGAATCCCATCGGAAATTCTTTGGAACTCCAATGGAATTCCGACGGAATTACGTTGGAAGTTCCGGCGGAATTCTGATAGAACCTCCAGGGGGCACTTTCCGGGAAATCTTTCTTTCAAAATTATTAATTAATTTTGAAATTATATTCACACTTAAATTTGTATTTTACAATTTTACATTTCTTTTTATTTTAATAATTATTTTATAATTAACCGAGAAAAACAGAGGAAATAGTTATAAAATACAATGTTCAATAATTACGAGAAAGTATATAGTCAAAAGAATAAATATTACTAAATAATCTTAAATATCTATAATAATAAATTAAAAAAGAAAACAAAAACCGGAAAATCTGCACATGAGTTGGATTATATTTTCCTAATTTCTTACTGTCAATTAAACTTTCTAGAAAGTGTTTCAATATGGAATATTAAAATATAGAAACGTATAAAATACAATATTTACCTGCAAAGTAGATCAATCTTCAAGTTTCAAGTCACATGCACTTTTTTTTTTTGCGTCAAATGTTAGAATAAATTTGCATATAAAATATTTAAATTAAATTATACATCCCACCAAAAGAATTGTTACAAAATTTACAGATTTTTCTTTTTGGTGTTGAAATAATCTACTGAAAATAATCTCCAATATTATTTATTTAATTATTGTATTTGATATTATATTACAATTATTATTTATAATTATTATTGTAAAATAATAACAATAATAATAATAATAATAATTTATAATTTCTTTAAAATTTTGGTAATTTTTTAGGACCGGAACGGTATATCAAAAAACATCAATGAAGATTTGATATAATAATAATAATATAATTATACGAAAAAATTAGTTTCTTCATATTGCAAAAAAATATTATAGTTTTATTCACGAACAAACACTTTCCTAACGTTTTATCTACATCTTGTCCCAGATTGTCATATTATACTTTTCCGACAATTTCCCGCGGGAAAATATATCTCCTTCTTTGTTATGATTTGTCCTCGAAACATTTTTAATTAGATTTCAGTGAAATTTTTATTTGAATAAATATATATATATATATATATATATATATATATATATATATATATATATATAATAAAGAAAATATTTTTATAATTTTTCTTTTAATATTTAAAGAAATTCCAAATTTCCATTTCGTAAAAAACAACAACAACGAATACTTATAAAATATAGTAATTATATAATTTCTAATTATTAATTAGATCAAAGGATGAATAAAAAGATTATACATTATAGAGTAGAAAAGAATCTCGAAAAGAATTAATGTTAATTTGTGAGATTTTATCATACAGATTTGTTTTTATATCAATTTCACTTTTAACATTTCTGAACGGCTATCTGGATCTTAATATTCACCTGCTGTTAACTCGAGCATCATTTATACACTCATTTTAATTAAAAGCAACTGATTCTTATAATAAATCAACAGTGATTAGATTTTTTTTTCCTACTCTCTGCTATATATAGTTAAAGTCTTAAAGATTAACCGTTAGAACAATTTTATTTTGATAAATTCATTACAGTGAAAATAGAACTTTATGACACAAAATTCTATTAACATCCAGTGTGCTTCTTCATATTTAGAAGTCATAATTTACAAGTCAATTTTCAAACTTCCTTTACAATATAATAATAATAAAATTATCGCTCGTAAAATAAATTGCAGAAAATAGAAACGAAATCCCATAACAATATTCTCAATACAGTTTCATTTTTTTTTTTTCACCTTTGAATGAAAGTAACGTGTTGGGAAAAGGTAATTCTTAGTATTGCTAACGAGATTGGGAATATTTTTCCAAAAGTCATAACCTCGGGATCGACAGACATCAGTAAACTATATATATATATATAAATAAAATACAATATACTCTATTCTTAAAACAATTTCACCGTTATCATCGTGAGAGAGTGACTAGGTGTCTATTTTACACTGTAGCACGACTTACTTACTTTTAATGCCATTTCTTTGCCTAAGTACGTCACGACATCAAGTTCGGTAACCCCTTTGATTCCAGGGCATTCTAAGGATTAAAGAACAACACTGTCAGGTGAAGCTGAAGAAGCGGAACGTTGGATTTCAGGAATCACTTGTCGAAGTCATTGGATATGGAGGTGATGATTTCTCCGATCTCGATGACGATGATAATCAAGATCTCGACAGTAATGAATCCTCCACTTATGAAGATAACCTTCCCGATAGCGAGGAAGAACGTGCCCTCGGTAATTTGACCCGTGCCAATACTAATTTCAATACTGTCACTGCAAATCTAACGGAATCTGTAACACCCGATGTCAAGGCTCCCAAGACATTTGCATCCTTAATGCTCGGAAAAGTTCAAAAAGATGCCGATGGTAATTTTCCAATATTCATCTATTTTTTTCCAATTTTATTTCATTGATTTTACTTTTACTATGTTTCATTACAATTTTTTTTCCATCTCTAATTTTTATTTTAAAGGCAAAAAGAAAACACTTTTGGTATCGGTGACGCCATTTGGAGGCGATGACAGTCTACCAACAGCAAAAAGGCCAAGCGACAATAAGAAAATAAATAACGAATACTCAAGACCCAAAACACTCGATATCATCGCCAAAAATGAAAAGACTGAAGTCATTGTCAAAAGTATTAAGAAATTAGTTGAAAATGAAAATTCCGAGAAACGTCAACCCGAATCTCCAAATCTTGAAAAAATTGTCGATATGCCTTTAATAACATCCGCTAATTTAGTATCCGTTATTCAAAATGAAAATCTCGAAACACCAATTCCAATTGTCCAAAAACAAGACAAAAAAATAAGTATCGCAAGAACTCCAGCTATCAAAAAATCCGAAAATGAAAAACCCAGAATATCATCAATAAACAATAAAGGAGAGTATGCAATAACAAAAATAACAAAACGCACCGATATCATGAATACCGAGAATCGTAAAAATGGTGTCTACAATTCGGGTATTGAATTAACATTAACACCATTGAAGAAAGAAATTGAGGAAAATTTGATTTTAAAAGGAAAGAATGTGAATAAAATTTCCGTTCCAGCTGCTGAGGAAAAAAAAGAGGAATTTTTAGAGGAACGAAAAATTGAGGGTGAATCGATAACAAAAAAATTTACCATCAAAGAAAGTCGTGAATCTGCTGGTGAACCTGATGGTAAAGCCGATGAGGATATACTGGAACCACCAGCATTACCAAAAAATCCTCCACCTCTTGAGACAAAACTAAAATGTAATCTTCAAAACGAATCCTCAATACTCACAATTGCTGAACCAAGATCTTCATTTTTACACGGTGAATCAAAAATTCGACCAGTTGTTCCTCAGAAACCTGTACCTCAAAAAAGTCCCACTTTCTCCAATACAAAACCCACACTCTCTACTTTTGCTGTCACAAATCGTACTAATTCCACAGAGGATCAAATTACCCGCAACTCTTACTTTAATTCATCAATCCTATCAAATGCTGAAAGCAAATCACAATCCATCAGACCACCTCAAGTTCAATCGTGCCAAAATAGTTCAGAAATTCAAAACAAAAGTCCTAAAGAAAATCCAAAACACAAGGAAAATTGTCCACCACGCCCTAAACCACCGTCAATATTTTTATCCAAATCACTAATACAAAATGAAGAAGATCTCGATGATGATGACAATAATGAACATTCCGAAGCAATTCGTTCATCGAATAAAAGACGAATGGCACCAAAACCACCGTCAACGCCAACTGATGATACGCCAAGTTCTCTATTTGCTCGTAATCCAACAACTGTTTTAAAATCAGATTCGCCAGTTGTTCGTGAAATGGAAAAAAGAGAAAGAGCATCATCATGTAGTCCTAAATTTCGAAAAGCAATTTCTGTTTCTGAAACACCAGATCCATTAGATCGAGCACCAGAACCAGCGCCAAGGAAAAATATTTCCCTCTCACAGGATAGTCTTGCAAATCCTGAGAGAATTGAGGAGAAAAAAAAGAGTCGATCTCGATTTTCGTTAAAGAAATTTCTTCGAATGGGTTCAAGAAAGGATGTTGACATGACATGTGGTTATGGCTCGAGAATGGATGAAATTCCATCGACACCACAACCAAAACCAAGATTAGAAATTATTCATCCTTTGGAACTTGATGGTGCTGCTGTACAAGTTCTTGGGAATGAGGGAAATTGCAGAATCAGCGAGGATGTTACTGATTCAAGAAGTAATTCATCTTTGACATCTAATTCACCGATTACTAATGGAATTCTACATGGTACAGGTAAATTTTATCAATTCTAGAATAATCTAAATATAGGCTAAATATTTAATTACACAGAGGGAAGAGTTAGGGACGCATGAATATTTTTTACATTAGAGCTGAAGGGAATTTTTCTGGTACCGAATTAAAAATTATCGAATTTTATAAAGCAGATCAGGGTTGACACAAATAGTATATTATGTTGCAAGCACGTAAAGTAGTACTTTTTAGGTTTTAGGTATTGAAATCATCCGAACCTAAAAATTACTACGTGCGAGCCACATACGCTATTTTTTTCGCCATTGTTATGAAAAAGTGAAACAATTTTAAAGAAATATATATATATATATGAAATAGTATATAAAATAATAAAAATTGATAAATAAAATAAAAGCAAAACAAAAATTATGCAAAAATTAACAACTGCCTAAAAAAGTCTTTTTTGGCAGTTGGCTCAAACTGCCTTAAAAAGTGCTACTTTATCTGCCCAAAACAGGCACAAAAAATACACTTTTTCATGTCAATGGCGAAAAAAATATTATTTTGTTTTTCCCTGATTTCCAGTCAAAATTAAAAATTTTTCCCTGACCCTAATAAAAATATTTCAAGAAATTTTCAATAACAGGCTTTGAATTGCACGACTTTTTCGACTTTAAAAAAAAATTGAATTATTAAAAAAATATATTAACTTAAATTGTTTGAAAAATCAATTATTTTCAATAATTTAAAACAAATTCTTCGAAAATTACATGATTTGAAATAGTTTTCAATTATTGAAAATTCACTAGAATTCATTTATTGTCTAAAAGTTTTTTAAAAAAATTTCACCAAATTCAAAATGAAAGTTTATCAATTAATAATCTCCTGAAATTCAATTATTATTTCTATAATTTTTTACCCCAACGCTTCTGAAATACACAATTATTTCTAAATTTTGTATTTAAAATTCTTTCTTGAATAATTTAATTTTAATCAAGATTTTCGAAAATTTAATTATTTAAAACATTTCACAATTCAAAATTCTCCAAAGTTTAATTATTGTTTAAAACTTATAAAATATCTACAAAAATTCTAATTTACGAAAATTTTAATACAAAATCTCCTGAAATTCAATTAGTTTTAAAATTTTTAGATAAGTATTGCTCTTTCAAAACTCAATTATTTCTAAAATTTATAACTTCCATTTCTTTTTCAATTAATTATTTCTAATAACTTTAATAAAATTTAGTTTAAAAATTCAATTACATAAAACATTTTTTAATTATTAATTCTTTAAAATTAAATATTTGTTTATATAATTTTTTTTAAAAAAATTCAATAATTCAAGTTTATTAACATTTTAATTGAAAATTTCAAAAATCGAAAATTTAATTTTTTAAAACATATTTTAGTTTAAAATTCTCTAAAATTCAATTATTGTCTGAAATTTGTCCAAAAAAAAATTCATTAATTCAAATTTATAAAAGTTTCAATTGAAATTCTCCGGAAATTTAATTATTACTAAAAATTTTTAATTAAACTCTTCAAAATTCAATTATTTTAAAAATTTTAATTAAAAATCTTTTAAAATTCAATTATTTCACAAATTTTAATTTAAAATTAATTATTTTTTCCAATAAATAATTTAATGAAATTCTTCGAAAATTTAATTATTTAAAACATTTTTCGAAATTCTGAATTTAAATAATATGCATATTTTAGATTAAAATTTTTTTTTTAAATATAACTTTAAATTATTTTTGAAAATTTGTTCTGAAACTGAATTGAAATCTTGAAAATTTTTATCAGTTAAATTGGGACGCATGATTATGTTTTAAAAATCATTAATTCGAATTTTTATTTTATGGAATTTCATTTGTCATAACTAATTTTGGGCCGAATTTTTATTTGTTCGAATTAGTATTTTGCAGAAATTTCATCAAACCGATTTTCTATATTACAGAATTTATATATAATCGAAAATTCACTTTACAGAATTTTTATTTGTTCGAATTTTTATTTAGCAGGATTTTTTGTTTGGTCGAATTTTCATTTAACATAATAGGACATTTTAAAGAATTTTTATTGGCTAGAATTTAATTGCATAGAATTTTCTTTTAGATAAATTTCATTTGTTCGAATTATTATATCAAATAATAATTCGAACAAATGAAAATTCATCTGAAAGAAAATTCTATGCAATGAAATTTTACCCAATAAAAATTCTTTAAAATGCCTTTTATGTTAAATGAAAATTCGAACAAACAAAAATTCTGCTAAATAAAAATTAGAACAAATAAAAATTCTGTGAAGTGAATTTTGGATTATATAAAAATTCTGTAATATAGAAAATCGTTTTAATGAAAATTCTGCAAAATACGAATTCAAACAAATAAAAATTCTGCTCAAAAATAATTATGACAAATGAAATTCCATAAAATAAAAATTCTATCTAATGATTTTTAGAACATAATCATGCGTCCTAAAATTTAAGGGCAGGTCAAAGTCGAAGCAATTTTTACATAGAGCCTCAATGGGAAAAAATGAAATAGAGCTTTTTTTTGTAAAAATTGGATAAAAATTACAATTTAACTTTAAACAAAACAAAAAAAACAAAATGTTAAGTAATTATTATTGTTCCAAGAAATTTTAGGTCAAAATTTAGGTAAAATTAATTTTAATTAGTTTTATTTGGTGATAAAACGAATTTTTAGTTTGAGATTATGTCAAGTGGTTGAACCGTCTGCTATTCGTAATCCCTACACAGATGATATTAATTATATTATAATCAGTAATATTTTATAAAAAAAAAATATTGAATTTATTCTATAGTGAGACCCGGAAAACCTCCACCACCGCCAAGGAATCAGTCACTGGATGATTGGTCCAGACTGGATCCTGCTAATAAGCCGGCTAGACCACCTCCCCCCCGAACTGACACAAAATTACCACCGAGGGGAGAGAAACCACCACCTAAAACTTGGCAATCAACATCCAATTCACCTTCGACGTCTGACTCAATTTACGCGAATTTGGGTAAGTTCAGGCCCATCCAGTGTAACTAATGATTAGATTTCACGTATATGTAACAGCCATACTCACACGATACTCGCACCTGCTTTTTTATAGCTTGCAAATCAGGTCGAAATCGAATACCCAAACTTAAGAGATTGTCAATCATTTTTTTTTTTAAGTTAATTTCAAAATTTCTGCAGGAACAGAAATTTTTTTTTTTTACTTAAAAAATAACTCAATTCTATAGGTATTTCATAAAAAGAAAAATTATTTACTTTCTCTTTTTATTGAAAAGAAAAACTAGTTAAAAATAGAAAAATTAAATTTTAATAATTGAGATTAAAAATTAAAATAAGAAATTAGATAAAAAATTAAAATTTAAAAAAACAGAGCCTAATAAATTTTTATTTGTTTTAAATAAAAAAAATTTATTCAGCACAAATAAAATTGTATTTAGCGCAAATAAAATTTTTATTTAACTCAAAACTTATTTGAAACATATAAATATTTATTTGGCTCTAAGACAAATATATATCTTTTCTCTGGGTATGTTGTTTGCGATAATTACACTAAAAAAAAAAGAATTTATTTGATTCTCAAATAATCGGTTACTTGACTATTATCAAATAAATATTTATTTATATTAAATAATTATTATTTGAGTGAATTTGTTTCAAATACAGAAATTATTGGTACAAATATAATTTATTTAATTCAAATAAAAATTATTTGGTTCAAACAAATATTTATTTGATAATAGTCAAGATTATTTAAATCAAATAAAATTTCTTGTTCATTATGAATATTTTAATTATAAGATGAAAATAAAAATAAAATTGTAGTTAAAAATAAAAAATAAAAATAAGGATAAAAGAAAAAAAAATTAAAATTGATAAATGAGATAAAAAAAAATTGATATAAAAATATAGAGATAATTAAGAAAATTTTAGAATTAAAGAAAATATATAGAAAAAAAAAAAAAAATTTCTTTTCCTGCATAAATTTAAAGCTTCTTGTTATGGCTATAAGTCTGTTTGCAATTATAATTATTTACTCTATAATTTTCTCGCTGATTACTACCAATTTACAATCTTTGCATATATATATATAGGAACTAGATGATATATTATATAATAATATAGCAGCCATTTTATATACTGATATATATACATACATATATATTAAACATGTGTTATAACTTACAGTCTCAATTATTAGTTCATGATTAACGAATCTTGATACTATTATATAGATTTTCGTGCATCCTGTGATATTTTTTTTTACACATTCATTTAGACAGTATAATTTCAAAATTTAGTCAAATGACATAGAAAATCGAATAATTTATATGTGATATTAATGATTTCACATATATATATATAGTAAAGTTTGAGAATGGCTGGATAGTTTTTCGAAAAAGCTTATAAATAATAAAAAAAAAAAAGGCGACAATTAGCTGTTATAGAAACGAACAAAAAAAAAACATGATAATAATAATAAAGGGACAGCGTGATATAACCAGCGACAATTTGTAAATATCATTTAAAAAAAAAAATTATTTGTATCTATATATATATTCTTAAAGTGCTATGTTTTGAAATAAAAGTTTTCTTCGTCTGAATCAAAGAAAACCTTGTTTTTCTTAATGTCACGTGACACTTAATTTTTGCATCCAAAATGCTTTGATAAATTTTTATTTTATTTACAATTTTTGCAAATTTTTTTTTGGATTTTTTAATTTTTTCTTTTTTTCCTGTAATTTTATTATTTTTAGCTACATTTAAAAATTAATAACTATACAAATTTAATTATAATTTTACTTATTTTCCCTACTTTTTATTTTATTTACGAATAATATTTTTTTGCACTCTCCTTTTTTTATTTAAAAAAAAAAAAAAATTAGTTTGATAAAATTTTTTTTTTTTTTTTTTTTGCATGATATGGTTGACATTGTTATTTTTTTATGACGACTTTTTTTTCAACGTTATTGATTTTATTAAAACGGCATGAAAAAAAAAAAAAACATTTCTTTGGTGTTAAGAGTTGGCAGTTCAATTACAAAGAACTCATGCTGAATATATATGCAACTAACGCCGCATGCATTGAATGCATATTTGCACCGTGTTCTCCTTTGGATTTATGTCTATAGATTTTAGATAGCAATGTCTGCCAATCTTTCGTTTTAACACTAACTAAATCTTGAATTATATAATATATATCCAATTCAAGATGCGATTTTATATTTAATTTTTTTTTGCCAGCGATATAAACACTGAAGCTATGAACATTTTTCTTTAATTTAAATTTTTAAATTAAATTACAACATTTTTTTAAATACTATTATTATTATTTTTTTTTTAAAGTCAAAATTTCCTCAAACGGATCAACAAAAATTAAAAAATTTAATTTTCAATTTCTTTTTTTTACTCCTACTGTGATTAAAATAAAGTTTTTGAAAATATTATAGAAAAAAAAATTGTTATGAACAATTGAAATTTTTAGCTGTCTTTAAAAAAAATATTTTTCTTGAGATCCAGATCGAGAATTTTTTTTTTAAGACAGCTCAAAATTTAAATTATTTATTTAAATTTGCAATTTATAACTTTAACAGAAAAAGTTTTTTTGTTCAAATATTTTCAGAAACTTATTTTGATATAGAGAAGTAAAAAAAAAACAACGAATTAACATTGAAAATTAATTAATTTTTGAAAATTTCTTTCTGATCTGTTTGAGAAATTCTTATCCCAAAAGTGAATATTATTTTATTTCATTCAAAAATAATCAGTGACTTGATTATTATCAAATAAATATATTTATTTGTATAAACAATCATTATTTAAGTTCAAATAGAATTTATTTCATTGAAATAAAAATGATTTGTTTAAATATTTATTTATTTTATTTACATAATAGGTAAATATTTATTTATAAAAACATTTACTTAAGGCCAGGTCCAAGTCGAGTCAGCTGTTCCTTTGAAGTTTCAATGGAACAGCTTACACAACTTGGACCTGGCCTTAAGTGAAAATACAATTTATTTGATCCAAATAAAAATGATTTGTTTAAATATTAATATTTATTTTTTCAACAAATAGATTAATATTTATTTAATAATTTTCAATTAACTGATTAATTTTGAGTTAAATCATTTTTTTTCCAGCTTATTGCATAAAAGATCAAAAATCATAAAAAAAAAAATAATTAAATATATATTTTTTTTATATAATTTTATTAAATCATTTTATCCCTGACGATGAAAACAATTTATTCTCGAAACTTTTGCCGTTTTTAAGTATATAATAACCGGGATTTGTACATTCAGGCAATTTTTCTTTATTCGAATCAAATATAATTTATTTGAATTAAATAAAAATATTTGTCTCAGAAATAAATAACTATAAATTTAATTAAAAATTTATTTAAACGAAATAAAATTTTATTTAAACAAATTAAATATTAGTGAAACGAAATAAAATTTATATTTAAAACAAATAATTATTGGGATTCATAAATTTTTCATAAAAAAAACATTAGTTAAAATTTTCATTTTTAAAAACTTTATTGGGTAAAATTGTTTTTAGACGAAATATCATTTTTTGTGTAAATAAATTTGTACAAATAAAAATTCGGACAAATGAAGATTCGATGAATTTGGAAATTCTGTCATTTAAAAACTCGAATTACTTAAAATTCTGTTAAATGAGAATTCTGCTAAATTAATATTCTGTTAAATTAGAATTAAAAAAAAAGTTGGCTAAAGAGAAATTCTGTTAAATAAAAATTGACTACCTTAAAAATTTTATTAAGTAAAAAATTCTCGTTTAAAAAGAAAGTATTTTAAGGGTAAAAAAAAATTCGATACCTAAAAAATTTGTCAAGTAAAACTTTGCTTAAAAAAAATTCTATCAAATGTTAATATTTGAAAAATTTTAATTCAAAAAATGATAACTTTTCAAAAAAAATAATTACATCCAATAAAATTCTTTAAAATACAAATTCTAACCTTCAATTTTTATGAAAAATTCATGCGCTCCTAAATATTATTTATTTAGTTCTGAGAAAAATATATTTTCTTCTATATGAATGGAAAATTTTTTTTTTTTTTTGTCTATTCATAATATAATTTATTATAAAACAAAAAATTTTTTTTCTTTAAATTATTTTTTTTTATAATAAAAAATGAAGTGCTGGCGTGTTAGCGAAGTCGGAAATAAATTTTCAAGGATCGTGAACCCCTGGGAAGGTAGTAAATTAAAAATAGAAAAAAAAAATGAAATATATAAAAATCGAAATAATATCTTTGATTCGTTTTTATATATACGTTGAGATTAAAATCCCAGCTTTAGTGTTTAGTCGTTTAACTATAATAACTAGCTAGCCTGTGATATGCCTTGTGTCTTGTGGTACTAACACTGGCGCTTGACCATGGCGTACGGGCCTGCAGCAGCGGAGGATGTTACAGGTGAAATTCGAAGTTCTTTGGTACCATCCAAGCCTCAGCGAACAGCCAGCATGAGGGACCAGACGATTTCTCAACCTCCCGTGCAAAAAGCCGTTCACAATCAAAATCAGGACTACGAGAATGTCGAAACCAATTCTCCAGCATCAAATTCGCCGGTTCGTTTCATTTTTTTTTTTTTTCAATTTTATGAAAAAATTTCATTTTTTTTTCATATGTTTTCTTCAATTTTTTTTTTAAATTGTTTTTTCATATTTTTCACAAAATAAACATTTCATTTAATTTAAACAATATACGTAACTGCTTTTAAATTAGATTTATTTTATACGAAAATAGTATTGATAACTTAGAAAATGGTCTCGCCCCTCGTTTTTTAAATAATAATTTTTTTACTAATTTGGACTACAAAAATTTTTTTAAAAAATAATAATTAGGGCTCAAATTTGAAAGAAAAAAAATATTTTTCAGCTCAAAAATGCCACTTTTTGTGTAATTAAAAATAAACAATAAAATTGTGCAAGACCAGAAGAAAAAGGAGAATCATATAAAATTTTTCAAAATCTTTAATAATAAATTATTCACAATAATTCAAATTTAAATTCAAATAAAACTATTTTTTATTTTAGAAATATATTCGACAATTATTATTTTTCAAAAATAAATTTTGTGCTGGAATTCTGGAAAAGTCGAAAGTACAAAACAATCATAACATTCACGAAAAATTGAAATAATTTAATTTTTAGAAATTCAAAAAGTCATATTTTTTTTCTAAATTGTGCTAGTCCAACACACAAAGATACAATTGAGACATTTACAAAAAATTAAAAATTTTCAATTACAACTCAATTTTTAAATAAAAAAAAAAAAAACTATATTTTTACTCAAATATTCAAAAATTATTATTTTTCAAAAACAAATGTACTGAATTCTTCAAGTCCAGCACAAAAAGGAACAATTATAACATTCACGAAAAATTAAAAAATTTTCAAAATAAATAAATTTTTAAAAATACAAAAAAAAACATTTCTTTATTCTAAAAATTTAAAAATTAAATTATTTTTAAAAATTTTCAATTTTTCGTGAATGTTTCTTTTTGTACTGAACGTACAGAATTCAGCAAATTTTTTTTTAAATAATAATTTTGGAATATTTATGAGTAAAAAATCATACAAAATTTTAGAAAAATAATAAATTTTGAATATATTAATTCTGGGTGAAAAAATCATTTTTTGAATTTAAAATGAAAATGCTAACAAATTGATTATTTTAGAGTCTATTCATGCGTCTCAAAAAAAAAAGTTATAAAGTAAATGAAGTAAAAAATTAAATGGAATTAATAAAAAAAATGTAAGAAAGTTAAAAATTATTTGATCGACAAGTAGATATGATATGGTCATTGATTAGTAAATTTACATATATATGTAAACAGAAAACGCACAGGTAAATAAAGAAATGAAAATTATCTTGATATTTATGAAAGTATATAATATAGTCGATTTAACCCTTTCAGGGGCAGTGGGACGTATACGTCCCACCTTTTTTGTTGTTGTATTTTTGGTATTTCCGGCATATTTATCTAATAATAATCATATATTTCTTATTTTTAGATTCTAAGGATATAATATAACGAATCTATAATATTGTTTATGAATAATTTATTATTGTTAACTTAATATTATTCCATCAATCTGAAAAATATGCATTTTTTTAATAATTAATTCAGCTATTTGTAAACGCGAAGTGCTACAACTTTGAAAATCTTTACTCGGGGGTTTTTGGGGTCCCTGATTACGAATCTGAGGTCAGTTTTTCAAAATTCAAAATGGCGGATCCATTATGGCGGACGACTTTTTAAAAATATAATGCAATTTGTATGAAACTCGTTACCCCGAGTAACAAGTTTCAAGCGAATATATTGAATTTTAAAAAAAATGTCCGCCATATTGGATTCGCCATTTTGAATTTTTAAAATTTGCAAAATCTGACCTCGGATTTGTATTCAGCGACCCAAAAAACGTATAAATACGTAATGAAACAAAAATTTGTATGCTTAGAATAATGTGCCCCTGAAAGGGTTAAAAGCAAAATATTGAAATAAATTTTGATGAAAATATGATTTTGTATATATATATATATATATATATATATGTGTAGGAGAAGATTGAAATTAATGGAAATATTTGCAGGCTTCGAGCGAGAGTCAGGTTTATGAATGCTTATCAAGTTCTCCGGAATGTGATTCGAGTCTTGAATTACGCCATGGGAACGGAAATCATGCAACTGCTAAAAGAAAATCCGACAGCAGTGCTTTAGAGTCAAATGTAGAGTTCAAGTACCATCAGCCAACGTTCACCAGGTCAACTTCCCTACCATATTGTGGTAGCGAAACCGAAAGTGAACTCTACGCTCCCTATAGCTTCTACACCAATGACGAGGTAACATTCTTTACATTATTATTACTATCATTATTATTTTCTTTTTCATTATCACTATAATTATTATAATTATTATTATTTTATATTCAATATATTTTTTTTTATTTTTGTTATTAATATTATTATTATCATCATAATTATAAATAAATTTCCAAATTTTTATAATGTAATTAATAATAGTATAATAGAGAAAAATGCATTTAAAAAGAGTACTCTTGCTTCTGAGAACGTTAAATTTATGGAAATTCATATGTCATAATTATTTTTGTGCAGAATTTTTATTTATTCGAATAAATATTTTGCAGAATTTTCATCAAACCGATTTTCTGTATTGCAGAATTTTTATATAACCGAAAATTCTCCTCACAGAATTTTTATTTGTTCGAATTTTTATTTGCTCGAATTTTTTACTTAACATAATAGGCATTTTAAAGAATTTTTATTGCGCAGAATTTACTTTCAGATGAATTTTCATTTGTTCGAATTATTATTTGATATAATTTCCATATAATCGATTTTTCATACTGCAGAATTTTTACTTAACCGAATAATCATTTAACAGAATTTCTAATTGATAGAATTTTCATTTGTCCGAATTTGCAAATGGCCGAACAAACAATCGACAGAAAGATTTCGGCGCGATTTTTAAAATCAACCAATCAAATATTATCCACAAAATTGTGATTGGTTGATTTTAAAAATCGCGCCGAATCTTTCTGTCGATTGTTTGTTCGGTCATTTGCAATTTCGGACAAATGAAAATTCTTTCAATTAGAAATTCTGTTAAATGATTTTTCGGTTAAGTAAAAATTCTGTAGTATGAAAAATCGGTTATATGGAAATTATATAAAATAATAATTCGAATATATGAAAATTCATCTGAAAGAATAAAATAGAAATTCTATGCAATGAAATTTTACCCAATAAAAATTCTTCAAAATTCCTATTATGTTAAATGAAAATTCGAGCAAATAAAAATTCTGTGAAGTGAATTTTCGGACACATATATATGAAAATTCTGTAATATAGAAAATCGTTTTGATGAAAATTCTGCAAAATACTAATTCGAACAAATCAAAATTCGGCACAAAAATAATTATGACAAATGAAATTCCATAAGTTGAAAATTCTAACTAATGATTTTTAGAACATAATCATGCGTCCCAAAGTAATTAACGTAATTAAAAATCAATTATTTGTTACATTATTTGTGTTATTAAATAACACAGGAATACACGGTTTTGGACCCGAGCAACGAAAACCTGTTCCTAAAGTAAATTTTTTAAATTTTAATTTTTTGAATCCGAATCCACAGTCCGTTTTTTTTACTACACGTCAGGTTTTTGAGATAATTGCAATTTTAAATTTTTGATGCTTTTAACGAAATTGTTATTGTTAATTAAACTATATTACTTATAAAAAAAAGTTATAACTTTGTTCAAGGTGTCTGGGGTCGCTGATTACAAATATGAATATGATTTGCTTGAAACACGTAACTTAGGGGTTTTTGAAGTCGCTGATGACGAATCTGACATTAGATTTTTAAAATTTTAAATGGATGATCCAATTTAACGGATGACAAAATTAAAAATTAATTGGACTTGCTTAAAACTTGATACTCGGGGGGTTTTTGAGTTAGCTGATTACGAATTTGACATCACATTTTTAAACGAGTTTTAAGCAAATCCGATCAATTTTTAAATTTTTCCCGCCATTTTGAATTTTTGAAATCTGATGGCAAATTCGTAATCAGCGACCTCAAAAACCCCCCGAGTATCAAGTTTCAAGCAAATCCAACTAATTTTTATTTTTGTCATCCGCCATATTGGATCCGCCATTTTGAATTTTAAAAATCTGATTACATATTCGTAATCAGCAAAATTTTTCCACCATTTTGGATCCGCCATTTTGAAATTTGACGTGATACGAAAAATCTAATAATGGTTTCGAATTCATCATAAAAAAATACGTTAAGAAACGCTCTTGCCTTTCTGGGTCCAAAAGTTGATCCGAATTTGTAAATCTGTGTAATTAATGTCATTATATTGAATCAGGGTCCAGAAGATGATCAGGATTGGAAAAACAAGGATGATGAATCGAGAGTTAGTCGTCTAAGACAAAGAAGAGGTCGAAGTATTGTTCATCGAAGTTTGGAGGATAATTATGGTGCAGTTGTTGTTGCCAACCATGAAGCATTGGCGCAATTTTTGGAACATGTAAGTTTCTTCAATTTTGTTAATCTTTTTATTACTTTTGCCTTTTCATTTTATTTTTACGTTTTTTATTTTCACTTTTTACCGATTTCTATATTTTTATATTTTTATTTTTCTTTTCATTTTTCAATTTTCTTAATCGTGGTAAGATAATAATCAAGAATTTTGGAATTAAGAAAATTATTCTCAAGTTAGAAATAAATAAATTAATATTAATTAATTTTGACAAATGGGTAAAAATTCGTCTAGCGTGCTCGAATAAAAAAAAAGATATTTCTGAATTTTGCGTTAACGTAACTTTTCTTATTTATTATTACTTAAACGAAAAGATAAAAAAAAATTCAAGATATGATTCTTTTAGATTTTTTCATCAGCTTTCGATTTGCGTAGTCTATTTTTAAAATTGTTTTTTATTTTAAATCAAATTTTTGAAAATCAAAAAATTAAATTTTACTTTTTTTCATGTCCCAAGTGGAGAAAATTTGATATTTTTTTAAATTTAAAGAAAAAAGAAGTATAGACTTTTATTCCCAGTTGCCCTTTCGAAATGATTTTCTTTGAAATTTTTCTATATTATGTATAATAATAATATTAAAAGGAATTTGAAAAATTCTCTTGAATGTTAAAGGCAATAGTTTTGCAATACAGTTGAGATATTAAAGTGACGTGTGGATAAAATAAAGAGGTTTACAAAAGTGGACTAAAGTTGTTGGCGACTTAAACGCACACTAGTGGAATATAGCTTATGATTATAGTGATTGGACATTGCCAACGTATATTTCAAACTTTGCAATAAACAATTTCTTTGCTCTGCAATATTGCGTTAGCAAAACTTTATATCACATATAGGTATATGTTATCTTTAACAGGTGTCACTGTATGTAATGTAAAATACATCATAAAACTTCAATTTTTAAACACATGAATGTATCGTGTCATGTCACAAAATATGTAATTAAAGATTATTTCCTTTATACATGCGTCTTACATAAATCAAAAATTATAACAGTATATTGCCTTTCTAAATATTTTTAAGGGCGTGAGACTTAACTCTATATACACAAAGTCATATCAAAAAAAAAATTCGCCAATTAGTTTTGAAATATAATAAAGATGTCTAATTAAAATATATATATACCTATTAATTAAACTTGTCATGCAAAAGTTAATTTTTATTAGAATTTAAGGCCATTTGAGAAATACCCACGTGACCCCCATGCAAAAAACATGGTATCGTATTCCCAAGATTTCTCTAAAATGGTAAAGAATTTTTGGTTGAAATTTGTAAAATATGATAGAGAATAGCATTCAGAATGGCGCTGTTCTCGGTTTGAAGCACAATTTTGCGTTTAAGGCCAGGTTCAAGTGAGGCAGCGCCATCTACATTAAAGCCAGGTCCAAGTCGTGTCAGCTGTTCCATTGAAACTTCAAAGGAACAGCTGACTCGACTTAGACCTGGCCTTAAAACTATAATTTTGGAAAATTTTCAACAGCCTTTTCTCGAAAACAAGAAGGTAAAATGTGTTTTTCTTTATGGATAATTGATTATTAGCAAGAAATACAACAGCTAAAACTTTTTTTGGGTTAAAATGATGAAAAAAATTTCATGTCGATAAATTAAATATGAGCAGTTTTTTCACAAAAACAGTAACAGTACTTTCTCGGAATTAACAATCAAGAATACAATTTCCATTTGGAAAATTAATAAATGTTAAACAATACACCAGCTAAGATTCACCAATCACGAAAATAATAAAACAAAAAATTTTATTACATATTTAACATATGGACACTGTTTTACTGATTGTGACAGCCCTTTGGTAGAATGTATTTCAGGTGGTTAGCAACAGCGCCAATCTCCTCCTTTCGGCAAAATCGCGAAACGTCTGGTGACATATATAACCTGCCAAACGGCTGTCATAATGAGTAAAATATGTTATGTTAAAATACTTTTTTTTTGTTATTTTCGTGATTGGTAAATCTTAGCTGGTGTATTTTTTAGCGTTTATTAATTTTCCAAATGGAAATTGCATTTTTGATTGTAATTTCTGAGAAAGAACTGTTACAGTTTTTGTGAAAAAAGTACTCATATTTAATTTATTGACTTGAAATTTTTTTCATTATTTTAACTCAAAAAAAGTTTTAGCTGGTGTATTTCTTGCCAATAATCAATTATCCATGAAGGAAAAAGCATTTTATCTTCTTGTTTTCAAGAAAAGGCTGTTAGAAATTTTTAAAAATTTTAGTTTCGATGTAGATGGCGCTGCCTCACTTAGACCTGGCCTTGGCAAATAATTTTTTAGGCAATATTAAAACAAAAATTAAAATAAAGGCCACGTGGAAAATTCCCACATGATTTAGTGTGGGGAAATATTTTTTTGCAAAAACTTCACACTTCGATACACTCTTACTATATATAGAAATTCAAATAATTTCCTCTTTTTTCCTAAATTGAAACGAAATTTGTATATTAAATTTTCTAATAAAGTCTCTTAGTGTGGTCTTAATTTAATGGAAAATAAAAATATTTTAATATAGAAATTGTAAAAATCCAATGGTAAAATTATGATTAATTAATGTTTAAAATGATTTATTTTTCAGTTAAATTTAGTTTCACCCTTATCCCTTGGACTGCGAGGATTGAAGAATGCAAATCTACGATTTAATGATTTCACTTTAGAATCTACTTCGTCTGTTATTATTGGAAAGAGAATATTTTATTCAGCAACGTGGAACGATCAGAATGTCACTATTTGCATAGCTTTCAATCCAACTATGCACGTTTCAAGAAAGGATTTCTATCTAGCACCTATAGTCGAATTTATAGATGCTGTGCCACAGGAAATTTCTGAAAAGATGGGTTACAATGGGCGGAAAACAATTGAAGGTTTGCTGATTTTTATTTTAAATAAAAAATATATAAAGGGGGTCCACCAATTTTAAAGTTTGATTTTCAAGCCTTTTTTTAGAAATTTCTTAAAAGAAAAATTACTGGAGAGATTCTTTGCCAAATATTCCATTATTTTGTTTGTTTTTATTTTTGAATAAAATTATTATTAATTATTAAAATATTAAAACTATTATTGTAATAGTTGACAGTAATTTTTTTTTTTTTTTTGAAATTTAAAAATAATTTTGTGTTGTTCTTCAGCATAGGGTTGTATTTAAAATGACAATTTTAAATATTATATTTATTATAAATATTATAAATATATTGTATTTAATTTTTAAAGATTATAATATTAAAAAAATATATTAAAAAAAAATTTTCATTTTCTGGAAAAATATATCAATTATTTTTTATCATTTAAAAAATTTCGAAAAAAAACTCAACCTCAGTACCTTGGGAACTTAATTATGAAAAAAAAACTACATTTTCTATTTTAGTTCTCGACGATCGATGAGGTGTGAATCGTGAAATTTAATTTTTAAAAAATTACTGTTAAAATATTAAAAAATAAATAAACAAAAAAGAGGAAGATTTGGAAAAAAATCTTCAGTTGTTTCCTTTTAAGGAGGATAAAGGTCTTAACATAATTTCAAAACTAAAAATTGGTTTTTAAAACAAACAAAAATTTAATAAAAATTAATTTCAAACAATTTTAGAAGATCTATTTAATTAAATTTTAATTTATTTTAGAATTTTCGGAAAAATTATATGTTTTGAGTTAAAATCTGTTGTTTTAAATAATTATTTTAGTAACATTTTGATTTTTGTCTAAGCTGAAAGAAAAAAATCAAAATGTTACTAAAATAATTATTTAAAACAACAGATTTTAACTCAAAATATATAATTTTTCCGAAAATTCTAAAATTAATTAAAATTTAACTAGATCTTTTAAAATTATTTGAAATTAATTTTTAATTAAATATTGGTTGGCGTTGCAAACAATTTTACAGTTTTGAGGTCATATTAGAACCTTTATGCCTCCTTAAAAATTTCATTAAAAAAGTTTTAGAGAAAATTAAAATTTTTTTGTTAATTTTCAGCTACAATTTCGATATTGCCTCGCCTACAAGTGAACACTATTCAATCTTTCGGCGCAATGACAAAAGATATCATTGACGAAGGTACAACGAAAGATTCCTTCTTTGTCTTGTTGCAATTCGTAAACGCGTTGAAAAATCTTCAGGCACGTGGTATCGAAGAATCACCCAAGAATTTGAGCAATGTCGTGCTTTGTCGAGAAGATAAGGACGCTTGTTACAGGATTTATCTGCTTCAAGGGTAAAGGAAATCTCTATTTTTTCACTTTCTATATATAAATACATATATATGTATTTATTACAAAACCCTTTCGAGATCTTTGAGATACTCAAATTCATTTAATTTCTTTATATAATTTTTGAGGAATTCAAAAAAGAATATACATGTACCAAAAAAATATACACTTACAAGTTGGGAATTTAAACAATTTGTTGTAAATTCTCCTCGAATGTATATATATGGGTCATTCCACGTGACATTTGCATTCAAAAATTTTTTATTGATTAAAACAATTTTTTTTTCGAAATGTTTATGAAAAATACAAAACTGAAGTCCACAACGATTATGATAAATAATTATAGAACTTCAGTATCATATATGAAAAATATGACAATATGTATTTATTGATTTTTTGATTTGATAAAATTTATGGAAGTTATGATTTAACGATGCGGATAAAAAGCACCACTTTCGCATAAAGAGGAAAAAGTTCCTTATTTATCAGAAACTAAATTGAAAGAAAAATTTCAAAAATCAATCACTTCGGTTTTGTGAAAAAGTCACTCTTTAGAGTTAATTTCAATTTTTTAAGTGGCAAGAATTTTTTATGCAAAGGAAAACGATTTTTTTCTCTTTATTATCAGAAACTGAATAATCAAAAATAAAAATCATCATTTTTGAAAAATCCAAGTTTTTTGACATTGAAGTTTTTTTTTTCTCTCTAAAATTAATTTGACTGAAAACAAGTTTGAAATCGGAAATTTTCTTAATTAAAATAAAAAAAAATATCTTAAAGATAAATTTATAAAATCAAAAACTTTAGAAACAATAAATAAAAAGTACAAAGTGGTACAAAGAAATAAAAAAATCATATTTTCTTATTTTTCATAAACATTTCAAAAAAAAAATATTTCAAACAAAAGATTTTTAATGAAAATCTCACATAGAATGCACCATATATACAAAAATTAATTTTCAAGTACGATGTTTTAGGGGAATTCAATTGATTTTTAATATTTCGTCCGCCATTTTGAATTTTAAAAAACTATATTCGTAATACGCGATCAATAATTTACATTCTTTTACTATGTCATAATATACAAAAAAAAATTTTAAACGTATTTTAAAATTAAATATTTACACTGAAACAAAATTTATTTGATTAAAATAATCGGTTACTGTGACTCTTATCAAATAAATATTTATTTGTATCAAATAATTATTATTTGAGTCAATTAAATGGTATTTGTTTCAAATACAGAAATTATTGGTTCAAATACAATTTATTTAATTCAAATAAAAATTATTTGTTACAAGTAAATATTTATTTAATAATAGTCAAGTAATTGAGTATTTGAATCAAATAAATTTTCTTTCAGTGTAGAATTATTTTTTGTTAAAATTTCAATGTAATAAGTTTGAAAATCAAACTCAAACAAATATTTTTTTAATTTAAACAAAATTTAAAAATTCCCATATATATTATATAAAAGTTGAAAATAATGACAATGATTAATTAAAAAGGATTTTTTTTGGAATTTCTAAAGTGAGAAGAAACGATCATTTACAGATAACATGTAAAGTACATTCCACATTCTCTGGACCGTATAGATTTAATTTTATTTTCTCAATTTGCAGATTAAACGTTGATAGCGGTGAAGAATGTGAAGAGAAAATGGCTTCGTTGTGCCAATGTGCCCTTCTTGCACTGCAGGAATTGCATCTCACTAATAAACTGCCTCTTGTTAGGGAGTTACTCACAAAGGAGAAGGCAGAAACTCTGTCACAGGTGAAATAAATTATTATTTTCTTGATATACATATATGGGGCAAAATTCCTCATGTGTACCAATAGGAAAAATATGTGAACATTGAATTTTTTGAAAAATCATAACTATTTTATAAAAGGATGAAAAAATTTTTGACCTGTATGCTGCCCTACAACGGAAAAAGATACATAAGCCACAAATAGGTCGAACGGAGATATTTGAGAAAAACCATTTGCATCAAAAACTTCATTTAGAATTCATTTTTTATGAGCAAAAAAAATTAATTATTTAAACAATCCCTTTTAAAAAATGCACTTGCGTAGTTTTTTTAGTGCAAATACAACGTAAAAAGAACACAAAGTCGCTTGTGGTGTTTTTCGTTGTAAAGTCATCGAGCGGATCAAAGATGTCCAGCGAAGAATATACATAAGGGACAAGAGAGTATGGAATTAGAGTATGGCACTTGTGTATAGTCTCCACTGGACATCTTTGCTCCGCTCGATTATTTTACAAGCTAAGAAATACACTAGCGCGCTTGCGAATATCGTTCTGTAAACGAAGCCGAGCTCGGCCGCTTTTGCAACGGAAAAAGATACATAAGCTACCTCGCGTATATTCTTCCATTGTATTTTGTGACGTATTTCATGCCTCCTACAGAATTTAGGCAACGCAAAGTACCTCATGTGTCTTTTTCCGTTGTATTTTCTCATTTTTCGCGAATTGCAATATTTTCAATCTTAATTTTTTATTATAAATAACTAGCTGTCGCACCCGTCTTCGACGGTTATAATATTTAGATTTAATAAATTTTGAAATTTATAATTACATCCAATTGGATCTAATTTCAAAGAGTAAAAAAGTAATTTTCGATTTTTTATTTTTACAATATCTGATTTCATATTCAGATTTGCAATTATTAATTTTAAAATTCTGATAAAATTCTTAAAATTTCTTGTTAAAAGCATACTTAATTGGTCACAAAATTTTAAATAAAGAACGTTTAGTAAAGAATTATCAAAAAATAAAAAATGTTAAATTTTTTGAAAGTGTCATATTTTTGTTTAAATTAATATTTTTCATTGGTGTGGAGCTAAGATTGCGTTTAATACCCAACAGACTAAAAACATTATTGTTTTACTTATAAAAAGTTGAACATAACGAATTCTTATATTACAATGTTATTAAAAAAATTGGAAATTCAAAAATTTGATTTAGACTTTTAAATTCAGACTATTTACTTAATTTAATAAAAAAATTGATTGTATTTATGTGAAAAAATTAGGTACAAATAGTTTCAAATCAATCTGTCAAAAAATAAAAAAATTGCATTTTTTTGATTTTTTTAAATTTTTTGAAAAAATGTCATAACTTTCGTTCATGTTAATATTTTTTAATCAAATATGGCTAAGATTTTAAGTTACGTTAAGACTGAATACGCTGCCAAGTTTTACCTCAATCGGTTGAGCCGTTTTAAAGTTGTGCCGGTACAAAATATTGACGACAGACAGACAGACAGACAGACAGATAGACAGACAGACAGAATTTTTATTTATGGCATATTTGTTATCTTTACTACTTAAAATGATAAACTATGCAAGAAAAAATTAATTTGGAGCAATGTACAGACAAAAGTCTGATTTTATTAATATAGATTAAAATTTTGAATTTTAATTACGATAGTCAGATGCAGCTTTTTATTACGAATCCATTGATACCAAAAACTCATTTTTGACCAAAATGTCACTTATGTATCTTTTTCCGTTGTAGGGCAGTATGTTTTTGAAAGGTTTTTTCCTGCTCTTTCGAATAGTTCAAAAATTTATTTAAAAAAAATGAAAATTTATCCCTTTTTTGAAAATCAAAAATATTTTTGAATTTGTTTTAAAAAAGGAGCTTTTTTATTTCTTTTCTTTATCCCTTAAAATAAAGCTTAAAAATGTATACTTTTAATAAGAAAATCAAACAAAATGTCGTTTTTTTTGTTTTTGATATATTAATTAAGGAAATTCAACCCATATTATCATAATCTCAAACTAAAAATATATTTAAAATTGATTTCACCCAAATTCGACAGATCCAATTGTAAAATTTTCGAAAAAAATTATTTTCAGTTAAAATTTATTGTTAAATAACAATTAAAATAAACAATTTGTGTTTTTTCTTAAAAGTTAGTTATCAATTTTAATTTTTATCCAATTTTTATAAACAATGTCACATTTTTCTCTTTGAAAGATTCTCTACAATTCTGATTTTGTGTGTTTTTTAAAATAATAGTTTAATTAAAAAATATAAAAAATAAAAATTTTATTTGTTTATTAATTTTTGAAAAAAATATTGTTAATAAAACAATTTAACGAACAGAATTTTAGAAAATCTTTTAAAGAGCAAAATGAGTTATTGTTTGTAAGAATTGGATAAAAATTACAATTGTTCACCAACTTTAAACAAAAAATATAGAAAGTGAAATAAATTATTATTTAACAACAAATTTTTGCACAAAATAATTAATTTTGAAAATTGTACAACTGAATTTTTCAAAATTTGATAAAATTAATTTTATTTATAGTTTTATTTATTTGTTAAAAATAACTTTTTAGTTAAATTTGTTTATTAAAAGTATAAATTTTAAAATTCATTTTAAGGGGTATACAAATGAAATAAAAAGGAGCCTTAAAAAAAATTTTTTTTTGATTTTCAGAAAAAGGGATAAGTTTTGAATTTAAAAAAAAAAAAAATTTGCACCATTTGAAAAAGCAGGAAAAACCCTTTCGAAAACATAGGTCAAAATTTTGTTTATCATTTTATAAAATAACTAGCAAAATTAAACGCGCGCCAAATTGAGTATTTAATTGTTTGTTATAAAGAAATTAAAGATTAATATTATCAATAATAATTTAACTTATTAGAATATTATTACATATTAAATGATAATAATGAAAATTATATGTTTACAGGCCTCGGATTATACGACTTTTTCCGCCTTTTTTAAAAATACGACTTTTATCGACTTATTTTAATAAAATGCGACTTTTTTTACATTTGAAAAAAAATGTAAATAAAATACATTTTTTTAGTATAAAATGTAGATCTTCTTCAGATCTTCTTCAATTCAATTATTTAAAAAATTTTGAACTAAAATGATTCTTCACTAAATTAATTAATTAATTTTTTTTTCAATTTAAAATTAAATTATTTACCAAGTTTTCAATTTAAAATGAAATAAAATTCAATTATTTTCTAAAATTTCTATTCAAAATTAATTATCCAAATTTTCAATCAAAAATGAACTTAAATTAAATTATTATCCAAAATTACAATTAAAATTCAATTATTTCCCAAAAATTTTCAATTTAAAATCAAATAAAATTTCATTATTCTCAAAAATTTGAATTCAAAATTAATTGAATTTTCAATAATTTGAATTTAAAAGCATCTAAAATTTAATTATTTCTAAAATTTTCCATCGAAAATTTTTTTTTTTTGAAATTTAATAATTTCAATTATAACTCTAAGGAAATTCAATTATTTTTAACTATTTTAATAATATTCTTTGAAAATTCAACTATCTGAAACCATTTTTCAATTAAAAATGATTTTCAAATTATTGTATTCTGTCCTCATTTTCTAATAAATTTTTAGTGAAATCATCTAAAATTTTAATTACAAAACACTTAAAATTCAATTAAATTTAAAAAATGTTTTCCAAAAATTGTTTGATAAATTATTTTTAGTTCTGTAAAATTTAATAATTGTTTGAAAATTTACAATATGCGTAATTTTATGTATGATGGTAACAATAATGTTAGCGCGGCTGATTAATTTTGTTTAAATTAGAATTATCGTATCATAGTACACAGTACGAATGGGCGCTGCCCGTATACTTTGAATAAATAAATAAATATCTTTTGAAATTTAATTATTTCTAAAAATTTCAAATTTAACCCTTCGAAAAGGATTATTATTAAAAAAAAAAAATTTTTATTTAAAAATCTGTAAAATATTTTTGTTAAAATAAAAAACAAATCCACTTTTTTTGGAATATAAATCGACTAAAACGACTTTTTATGTCTTTAAGTTGATTCGATGCCTGTGTTTTTATAATTAATATATAATAGTTATTCGTTGGCCCCTGGTACCTTAAAAATTAATTTTTTTCAAATTACTATCTTGTACGAAATTTCCTGGCGCATCTTTTTTCTTATCATAAATTTTTTGTATTTGTAAACAATTTTTGAATCAATATACAACTTTAAAAAAAATTTCGTTGGTAAACAAATTTTCGAATTTGGAATTTTAAAGAAACTTATTCCGAATTTTGGAAACACAATTATACAACTTTGGCAAAAATGAGAAAAAGAATTGTCAAAATTTGACACGTCATAAGATTACTATTCAAAAAAACACGTGAAATCAGAAAAGGCCAACTTCAAGTTAGGACAGAAGGACAGACTAAGCATTTTATTATTATATAATTATAATTTTTCAAAAAATTTAATGTTCCCATTTTTACTATTGGTACATTTCAGGAATTTTGCCTCATAAATATAATATAATAAACATAATAAATACAAGTTAAAAATTTTATTATTGTTTTTTCAGGTAAAATCACTACTTGAATTTTCGTTATGGGGGCCAGCTGACGTAACTCTTGGCGGACCACGAGAAAGAGAAACTGCTCTTCAAAGATGGTTGGACCTCGAGAGAGCAACAGTTCTTCACGCTTTAGTGAGGACAAGAGCTCCTCTAACAGTAACGGATGAATACCATCTTTTCTTCCTTGTTCACACAACATCAAAAACTATGTGCGAGGCATCCATACATCTTGATAAGCAACGAAACGGCTTAATGCGAACCAATTAATTATAATATATAAAAAAAAAAAAAATTCACAGCGCACTCATCACTATCAAAATAATTACATTTTGCTCAAAATAATAATGTCAAATCTAGATTGTTATTATTATACATTCGTTAATATATTAATAGTATTGTAAAAAAACTATTTAAGAAAAATGAAATATTAGGGTGAATATATATATATATATTATATTAGGGTGTTGATATATTTTCTTCATATAGACACACTCGAATAATTATTTTTCATAATATATGTAAGTAAATTAAAAAAAAATATCCCTTGTTAAAATGATAATTCGTTAAAAATACTCAATCATCGAACAAAGAAAATTTATAAATGAATGAATTCGACGATTGTTTTTTTTTTTGTGCTGAAAATTATTTATAATGTTTCGTTCAAATTGTCAAAATCATTTCGTCCTTTAAATTTGAAAAATGTTACGTTTAATTGAAAATTATTTTGTGTTTTCAAAAAAAGGATTTTTAGGTTTTTTTTTTAATAATTATTAGGTATAACTTGTTTATTTACTTTTGTACAGTTGAATATTTCAAGCATGACAAGATTATTTGATATTTTAAAAAAAAAATTGTGTCATTTCTTTATTATTATAAAAATACTCAATGAAATGTTTATAAAATAGTCATTAATATAATATTAATATGATATTAATATTGTTATATTAATGATAATACCATGAATAATGTTTTGTACATATAAATAAAAAAAAATAAAATTGTTATTAATGAAAATATAATGACTGAAGTGTTTACTTTTTATAATTATTATTGATTTTTTGTAAAATTTTTCATTTTTTAAATTTATTACTATAAAATAAATAATAGAACCATTAACTAACTAAATAAATATTATTATTTATCAACGATTGGAAATCAATTTTTATTTTACATGAAAAATTGTAAAATTGTTTAACTAAAAAAATATTTTTTTTTGTGATTTGTTGATTAATATAAATTACAAGAAATATTTTTTAGGCAAAAAATTATAGAATTTTTCATTGTAAAAAATGATTTCTTTAAAAATCGTTTATCATAAACGTTGCGTACTTCAGCTTCGTAATTTTGATATTTTGTTGATAAAAGATATAATAATTATATAATTTTTATTTTGCTAATATTGTTTAAATCAAAATTAACAACTGTTTAGTTTATTTTAGTAAATATTAAATTGCCAAAAATTTATTTATTTATTTACATATATATATACGGGCAATGCCCTTTCGTACAAGAGTACTAAAGTATAAAAAAAGAACATAAGAAAAATGACAGTGCGAAAAATTGTAATAAAAAAATGACGACGGTGAAGTTATCAACGTTTAAAATTTTTTTTTTTTTATTTGGAAAATAATTAATTTTTTGTCTACAAATTTTTCTTTCAAAAATTGTTGATCATGAAAGGTTGCAAACATTTTTTTAGGTAAAAAATTATAATTTTCACAGAAAGATATTTGTTCTTCTAAATCGTTGAACATAAACAAGTTCTAAAAATCATTAGCTAGAATTTTCATTTTATGGAATTTCATTTGTCATAATAATTTTTGAGACAAATTTTTATTTGTTCGAATTAGTATTTTGTAAAATTTTCATCAAAACGATTTTCTATATTACAGACTTTTTATATAATCGAAAATTCACTTCACAGAATTTTTATTTGTCAGAATTTTTCTTTGCTCGAATTTTCATTTAACATAATAGGCATTTTAAAGAATTTTTATAGGGTAGAATTTCAAATGAATTTTCATTTGGTCGAATTATTATTTCATATAATTTGCATATAACCGATTTTTCATACTACAGAATTTTTACTTAACCGAAAAATCATTTAACAGAATTTCTAATTGATAGAATTTTCATTTGTCCGAAATTGCAAATGTCCGAAAAACAATTGACAGAAAGATTTCGGCGCGATTTTTAAAATCAACCAATCACAATTTTATGGATAATTTATTGGTTGATTTTAAAAATTGCGCTGAATCTTTCTGTCGATTTTTTATTCGGTCATTTCCATTTTCGGACAAATGAAAATTCTGTTAATTAGAAATTCTGTTAAATAATTTTTCGATTAAGTAAAAATTCTGTAGTATTAAAAATCGGTTATATGGAAATTATATCAAATAATAATTCGAACAAATGAAAATTCATCTGAAAGAATAAAATGAAAATTCTATGCAATGAAATTCTACACAATAAAAATTCTTTAAAGTGCCTATTATGTTAAATGAAAATTCGAGCAAATAAAAATTCTGACAAATAAAAATTCTAACAAATAAAAATTCTGACAAATAAAAATTCTTTGAAGTGAATTTTCGGTTATATAAAAATTCTGTAATATAGAAAATCGTTTTGATATGAAAATTCTGCAAAATGCATATTTGAACAAATAAAAATTCGGCTCAAAAATAATTATGACAAATGAAATTTTATAAAATGAAAATTCTAGCTAATAATTTTTAGAACATAATCATGCGTCCCTCATATTTTATTATTTTAGTTCAAATAATTTAAATTTTTTGCTTAGTTTTTTGTATTCGTATAATATATAAACTATGCAGTTTTCTTTCTTATTTAATACTTTTATAAATAATTTAAAACTTTTTTATAGGTACTTATATTTTAATTTAGAAATCAAATTATATTAATTAAATTGGTTATTTGAATTAACTTTATTTATAATATTCATATAACAACTATATATATTTAATTTGTAAAAATAATTGTTAATTTAAAAAAAAAAATTTAAGAGAAAAGGTTCAAAAATTACTTGGTACGTATGCATAATTTAACGTCTGCGCATTGAGAAAAATCTGCTTCGCAAAACCATATGATTTCACATGGTTTCGCACATGCGAAACATTCATCAGTATAAATATGTATATATCCTAATCTAAAATACTTGATCCAAAGCAATGTCCAATTTACTGTATTATCAAAGCTATAAAACATATCAAATCTTGATTAGTTAACCGAAAATGATTACACTTAATTTGTATTTAGACAGTATTTCGTGAATGGTTAAGTAAAACGATCAATATTTATTTGCTGAATATAATTTCTGATGTGTGAATTTTATAACTCTATCTTTGGAGCGAAATATTAAAAAATGGAGGTAAGTTATTTTTGTTTTTAAACAATTATTAATAATATTGATAATTAAATTTTAATAATAATTTTATTTTATGTCATAAAATGTCACAAAATCTATATGAAATTTTCTTAATACAAATAATAAAAAAAAAGAATATATTTTTTAATTATGGAGGTAATATTATTAAATTATAAATATAGTTAATTCAAATTAATATTTTTTATTAATATAATTTGTTTTCTAAATTAAAATAAAAGTACCTATAAAAAAGTTTTAAATTATTTATAAAATTATTAAATAAGAAAGAAAACTGCATAGTACCTACGAAATGTGCTGAATTTATAAAAGAATAATTTAAATAATTAAAGTAAATTTAACTTAAAAATAAAAATTTAAGGATATAAATATAAGCATTAAAAAATTAAAATTTACAAAAGAACAATAATTTAATAAATACACTTAATAATAATTAAGTTAATAATAAATATTTAACTTATATAAATTAATAATAATTTTCAGTACGAATTATTATGGAAAATAGTAACTTATATTTATTATATTGGAGGATTATTACTACTATTAAAAATATTCAATACCGTGACTTTGGGAGTATGTAAAACTGATAAGCGACTCGATGGACAAGTTATAATTGTAACAGGCTCTAATACAGGTATATAAATTATTTTAAAATTAAGAAAATTAATGTTTGCAAAATTAGTGCAATTAATGCAAAAAAAAATTAATTAAAATTAATGCATAAAAAAAATTTTTAACATCACTATTTTATATTAATTTTATTGCGCATATTTTTTTTCATATGCAAAAAAATCGATAACTTTTTACCATTTTTGAGAAAAACTGAATTTTTAGGAAACAAAATTTTTTTTGTTGCACATTGTAAAAATTACTGTTTTTCATTTTCAAGAGTTTCGTTTATATGAAAAATTTTCAGTATAGGTAAATAATAATTTACAGTGAAAAAAATATTCATTAGGCTTTTATAAACATTTTTGTTAAAAAATAAAAAAAACTATTTTCTGTCAAAGGATTGTGAATCATGAATTGACGGTTTGTGTTGAGCACGTGACGCAACATTCGCAGGCGTGCCAAGGTCGTTAATTTATACAAACGGTCAATTCTTGACTTGCGTTCGTATGACGGAAAAATTAGTTTTTTAATAGAATTTTCTAAACGATTAAACGAATTGTAAAACTATATTAAATAAATATTTAATAATGAAAATTTTTTTTTACTGGAAGTTTTTGCTTAAGGCCATGTGGGCAAAGGACGTTTTTTTGTGCTTTTAAACTTTCTCTGAAATAAAAAATGATTTTGGGTTAAAATTTTGGAGAAATAATTTTGTTTGGTACAAGGAATCTCGCTGTTCTACTCATTTACCATAACTTAACGCAAAAATAATAAAAATAAAGCAATATAATAATAATAAAATGCTTGGTCTGTCCTTCTGTCCTAACTTGAAGTTGGCCTTTTCTGATTTCACGTGTTTTTTTCAATAGTAATCTTATGACATGTCAAATTTTGACAATTCTTTTTCTCATTTTTGCCAAAGTTGTATAATTGTGTTTCCAAATTTCGGAATAACTTTCTTTTAAAATTCCAAATTCGAAAATTCAATTCACAAAGTTTTATATTGATTCAAAAATTGTATACAAATACAAAAAATTTATGATGAGAAAAAAGATGCGCCAGGAAATTTCGTACAAGATTTTTTTGAAATTAATTGAAACTTTAAGTGTTTTGTAATTAAAATTTTAGATGATTTCACTAAAAATTTATTAGAAAATGCGGACAAAATACAATAATTTGAAAATCATTTTTAATTGAAAAATGGTTTCAGATAGTTGAATTTTCAAAGAATATTATTAAAATAGTTAAAAATAATTGAATTTCCTTAGAGTTATAATTGAAATTATTAAATTTAAAAAAAAAAATTTCGATGGAAAATTTTAGAAATAATTAAATTTTAGATGCTTTTAAATTCAAATTATTGAAAATTCAATTAATTTTGTATTCAAATTTTTGAGAATAATGAAATTTTATTTGATTTTAAATTTGAAAAATAATTGAATTTTAGTTAATTTTGAAATGAAAATTTTGGTAAATGATTGATTTTTAATTGAAATTTTGGATAATAATTTAATTTAAGTTCATTTTTGATTGAAAATTTGGATAATTAATTTTGAATTGAAATTTTTAAAAAATAATTTAATTTTATTGTGATATTTTTTAAAAATTATAAACAATTGTTAAATTTCATAAAAATTTTAATTGAAAAATAATTTTGATATAATTGAAATTGTGATGTATTTCATTAAAATTATTAAAATTAATTAATTTAGTAAAGAATCATTTTAGTTCAAAATTTTTTAAATAATTGAATTGAAGAAGATCTGAAGACGATCTACATTTTATACTAGAAAAATGTATTTTATTTACATTTTTTTTCAAATGTAAAAAAAAAATGTCGCATTTTATTAAAATAAGTCGATAAAAGTCGTATTTTTGAAAAAAGTCGGAAAAAGTCGTATAATCCGAGGCCTGTAAACATATAATTTTCATTATTACCATTTAATATGTAATAATATTCTAATAAATTAAATTATTATTGATAATATTAATCTTTAATTTCTTTATAACAAACAATTAAAGACTCAATTTGGCGCGCTTGCGCGCGTTTAATTTTGCTAGTAGTAAAATAATGTATTATATCATAATTCATTCAGTGGCCACTTGCTCGAATTGGCGCTGTTTACTGGAGCACTGACACACTCAAGCAACGTCTGTGTATGCGCCGCCATCTTTGTTTTCATTTTCGTTTAAAAATGCCACTTTTAAACTTCATTTTTTAATAATTTTACTCAAAATTATGTATTTTTCGGAGAACAGCGAGATTCCTTGTACCCTAATCTATTATCCCTCAAAATTTTAGACAAAAATCTTTTCACATTTTAGAGTGAAACATATACTACCAAAACACATTTTCCCATACTAGGTCACGTTGGAGTTTCCTACATGCCGTTAAAGAAAATTTCTCAGATAAACGAATCCTTCTAAATATAATGTAACTCATCTTTGAAATATTAAATTGTTAAATTTTAATTAAAGCAAATTATTATCGTGACATATAGTGATAATTTAATTATATATTCAGGAATTGGAAAGGCGACAGCCTTAGATTTTGCGAAAAGAGGAGCTAAAGTTATTTTAGCATGCAGAGATCTAGTTAAAGCTCAAAACGCCAAAGGTAAAACATAAAAATTAATAAATATATTAATATCATTCTATCAAATAAATTAATAAAAGAAAAAAATATAAATGAATTTTCAATTGACAGAAGAGATAGTGGCAATTTCCAATAACAGAAATGTGGTTGTTCGACATTTGGATTTAGCTTCATTGAAAAGTGTCAGACAGTTTGCAAATGAAATAATTGCCACGGAAAATAGGTTGGATGTTTTAGTTAACAATGCAGGCTTGGGAGGCCAAGTTGATAAGAAAACTGAAGATGGTCTCGAATGGTGTTTACAAGTCAATCATTATGGACACTTTTTGTTGACGAATTTATTAATTGGTAAATTTAATTAAAAATTAAATTAAATTAAAATTAAAGCAGCATGTGATTGTTAGGACTACAATGTCAATTTTTATTTGTCAGAATTTTTATTTGCTCGAATTTTCATTTAACATAATAGGCATTTTAAAGAATTTTTATTGGGTAGAATTTCATTGCATAAAATTTTCTTTCAGATGAATTTTCATTCGTTACAGTTGACATATTTAGAAATAATTAAATTTTAAAAGGTTTTAAATTGAAATTTTTAAAAATAATTGAATTCAAGTCGTTTTTTAATTGGAATTTTTTGATGATTTCTGTTGCTGAAGAATTTATTAAATATTAAAGACAAAAATTGAACTTTAAAATTTTTTAATTGAAAATTAAAGAATTTTTATTTAAATTATTAAAAGTAATTAATTTAGAGAAAAATTTTAGGTTAAAATTTGTTAAACAATTGAAATAAAGAAGATCAGAAAAATATCTGCATCGTATACTGAAAAGAACGCATTTTGTTTAAAAGTTGTGTAAAAAATGAAAAGTCGAAAAAGTAGCATCTTATTTAAATATGTCGCAAAATGTCGTATTTTTGAAAAAAAAGTGAGAAAAAGTCATATAATCCGAGGCCTGCCAATTATATTTAATATTTAAAATATTTTAGAAAAAAAGTTTCTAACAAAATTAACATATAGTAGATCTAAAAATCACTTTCTCAATTAATAAAATAGAAATTAAGAAAATTATTAAAATATCGAATTTTTTGAATTGGAATAAAATTTAAAGAAATAAAATAAAATTTTGGTGTATTTTTTTTACAGATTTACTAAAAAAATCAGCCCCGAGTCGTATTGTTCACGTGTCTTCATTGATGCACAGACTAGGACGCTTAGATTTTGAGAATATGAATTGTGAAAAAGGCGCAAATGGTTTTATGGCATATAATAACAGTAAATTATACAACATAATAGGAAGTAATGAATTTGCAAGACGATTAGAAGGAAGTGGTAATAATATTATTTGAAATTTTTTTTTTTATTTTTCAATTATTGTTCAAAGACTAAATATTAATTTCTTTGATTTCAGGTGTAACGTCCAATAGTTTACATCCAGGAATTGTACACACAGAAATAATGAGAGAAGTTTCTCCATTAATAAGATATTTTGTAAATAAAATGTTGCAATTATTTTATAAGGTAAATTAAAAAAAAATTTTTTTTTCAAAATTTAAAATAATTTTTTGTTTTAAAGTAATACCTATACTGATAAATTTTTAAATAAATTATTTCAGTCACCAGAAGAAGGAGCTCAAACGACAATTTATCTATCAGTTAATGAGGAAGTACAACATGAGTCAGGAAAATACTTTGCAGACTGTCAGGTATAAAAATATGTTGCTTTTTGTTGTATATTAATAATTAGGATTTTGTTGGTATTATTTTTATTTGCATTGCAGGAAGCTTATTCATCATCTATTACAAAAGATAAGGAAGTTGGAAAGAAATTTTGGGACAAATGCTGTGATCTTGTGCATCTAAAACCGGAGGAAAGATTCATTTAACTATTAAAATAACAATTTTTTTTTCTTTTTATATTAAACGATACCGAGTTTGTATTCACTGACATGAAATAATAAAAATATTTTGAAAATAATAAATTTTAATACTGTAATAGTTCGTCTTTATTTTTTAAGTTTTATTTAAATATTTTATTTAAATAAAGGATAGGCCCAAGGTTGATAAGAAAATACTCTTCATTTAGCTATTCACAATTTAATTTATTGTAAAATCTTCTTGGCGTCGATACATATAATACTTCAGGTTTATTGAATTTCAGTCGTGGTACTTAATTAATAGATTCTAGTATTGGCAATAATGAGAGTCATTATTTATTATTATTTTACAGTTTAGTTTTAAGTGAAAAATGGCAGCTGGAGCAGCGTTCACCATGTACAATTTTATAGTTTTAATCTTAATTCAAAAGAAAGTTGGGGACGAAGGTAGGAACTAAAAAGGAAATGATTTAGTTTTTTATTTCGGATGTAGCGACAACGACGGCATACATTGGACTAGACACAGTAAGTATAAAATAAACGATTTATTTTTCTTTTAATTTCAGATGCAGCGACAACAATGGCATACATCGAACTCGTAATGGTAAGTATGAACAAATGATTTAGTCTTTTATTTCGGATGCAGCGACAACGACGGCATACATCGGACTAGACACAGTAAGTATAAAATAAACGATTTATTTTTCTTTTAATTTCAGATGCAGCGACAACAATGGCATACATCGAACTCGGAATGGTAAGTATAAAAAAATGATTTAGTCTTTTATCTCGGATGCAGCGACAACGACGGCATACATCGGACAAGAATGGTAAGTATATATATATAAAAAATGATATAGTCTTTTATTTCGTCTTAGTTATAACGGCCAAAATAGCTTCCATTAAAAACGGCCAAAGTAGCACGCGTTATAAAAATGATCTTATAAGAGAAGGAGTATCGTGATGGCCAAAGTTAGCTCGCACCACGATTAAGTTTTAATGTAAGAAACGGGCGAGATAGCTCGCGTTTCGAAAAGAGCATTTATAGAGTGGCAGCCTAAGCAGCGTGCACCACTGAAACGAATAATTTAAATAGCGCGCCCCGTGAGAACTTATACTCCCGCAGTAGGTTCGTCAGAAATCACAAGTCGTGGTTCAGTAGGTAATTTACCGATAGTGGATAGATACCTACAGTAGCTGAGATAGCGTGCACTGTAGGTAATTTCTCGACGTTTGGTAGATCCTAGACAGCTTTAACAGCGTACGTCTTGGATTTTACCATCGATCGCGGTTCACTAGATCACTCCGAAAGGGGACTCTACTCGCGACTTAATCTAAGGACTGGTAGCCGAGATGGCGTGCATCATGGAGGTTTTTCTGGAAATTTTCCTTCAGCAGCCGTAAAAGCGTGCACTGAAGGTGGTTTTATGGAACAAAAGGTGAAGGGTAGAGAAAAGGCTGGACAACTCCAACTACAGCTACCTCAGAGCCTAGGCGGCGTGCCCGAGAGAGCTGCTTTACGTACCTCTTAGGGAACCTTCCCTTTGGACTTGCTAGGCTGCTTGAGAGACTTCACTGGTTGGTAGTTGAGCTGCTTCTGTCGAAATTTACACGATGGTGAGCATTTAAAGCCTTAGCAGACCATCTTACTTGCGAGAAACACTTGACGATCAATTAAATTGATCCAAACTACTGAGTGTCTGGCAGAACTCACTCAGTAGTGATGAAACTTAAAATCGAGTCGTACTCGTTTTTCCATGCACCGTTTCAATACACAATTAAAAAAAAACATAATAAGACGTATAACTCTATTACCTATATAAGGGTATGATTTACAAATAATCTTTATTTGTTCTATAAGAATTCAAGAATTTTTTAAAAATTTACACCATTTAATAACATCTTGATCAGAGTATTTTTCATTTATAATATCAATTACGTGATGCGTATTAAATATTAATGTATTGGTATCATTATTTTGTTTTAAAATTAATAAGCCAAAGGCGTCAATTTTATACTATCCTTCAAATAGTTTCTCGGAAGCAATAATTTAAGACTGCATTTGTCTAATTCGATCCCCGATATGTGAACTGTATTATTGATATTTAATTCAGTAAATTCTTTAGCGTCAATCCACGGATTTTTAATCAAATCGTTATTATTCAATTTTATCAATTCCGTATTTTCTTTGTTTTTTTCCATGAACATGAGTGATTTACAAGTTTTAAGCCTTTTTGCACTTTGTAAATCACAATTTTGCTGTTTCGTATCTTTCCATACTGCTATAGAAAGGTCACTTTTTGTCAAATTTTCTTGTCCCAAATGTACAATATCTTCAATACTTTCTACAGTTTGTTGTAGACGTAGCAAATCATCGATGCTATTATTCGTGTTTCTTTTAATAATGGAAGAACTTCAAAAAGTAAATAATTTAAAAATTGTAAATATTTATTACAGAAGAGAAGGGGTAATTAATGTCATTATTAATACGTCTCAACCACTTTTTGTCAAATCATTGGCGACGGAAGGCAAAAGTCACACAGGCGAATATCTATCTACGTTAATTGATGATGTATTGAAAGAATACGGTCCTGAGAAGTTCCTTTTAATAGTTGTGGACAATGCAGCTAATATGAAAAAAGCTTGTAAATTAATTCAAGATTTATATCCTCACATAAATGCAATTGATTGTGCCGCACACTGCATGCAATTATTAATTGGGGATATTGCGAATTGTATTTGTTAGAAGAAGTAAGTTGTTAGAAGATATAGCTTATGTTGTCTCCACTATCAAACATTCAGAGCGTTTGAGTACTAAGCTCAAAAATATTGATTCAACGCAACCGGTGGAGTCTCAAGCCAAAATTATCTTTTAACTGCCTGGGAAAACGCGATGGGGCTCAAATTTACGATCGGCTGACAGTTTGTTAAAAAACAAATCGAATCTCCGGATGCTGGCTGTGGATGTAAATGCCCAAGTGCCCGAGAATCTGCAAAATCTACTTCTGTCGAACAGTTTCTGGAATAGTGTGAACGACATTAGTCAAATTCTGAGACCAATTGTAAAATGGATATATACTGTCGAAGGAGATGAACCGCAACTTCACAAAGTCTATCAAGCTTTTCATGAAATTAAATTAATGATAGAACAATCACTTGTAAATTCTTTTTTAAACATCGAAAGAAAAGGAGTACGTTCAGGAATCCGTTCAATTCCGCAACGAATTTGCATTAAGAGATATTCACTTTGCAGCCTTTTTATTAGATCCAAATAATATTTTCGAAGAAAATAGTAGTGATCACGATTTATTAACAAAAGCCAGACTATCTGTGGACGAAAATGCAATGGCAGTTGAATTTATTACAAAAGTAGCAGGATATTTGGGAACAGTTGATAGAAAATATATGTAAAATTAGTTAATAAATCAAAGTTTCATTATTTTGGAAACTTTCCATTGAAACTTTCAAGTGAAAGTTTCAAAAGAATAAGTTTCGGATATATTAAAATAAGGAAATAAACAATTATGTAAGAAAATAAATATAACAATTTAGGGGTTATACTTGTTGATACGCGATACAAAAACTAACCTAACCAGGGAAAATGAAAAGGCCAACACACCCATAGAGTTATTATAAATAGAGTGGGGAAGGTATAGGAGCCACAGTAAGTGGCGATGAGACGCCCGAAGAGAGAGAAAGAAAACCGAAACCGTAGTTCTGTCCTTCTCTAAAAATGCTTCACTGCGCAAGCGCGGGCGAGTGACTGAAGGGGGCAGAAGAGGACAGATATACGGTTTCGGTTGTCTTTCTCTTTTTATGCAGCGGACGCTTAGGTACAGTCCTTCCCCACTCTATTTATAATAACTCTATGAACACACCATGTCGGGAACTTATTGTGTGTTAGCCTAAAGTTTTCTCGCTGCAGTGAAAGTAGAAATCGAATTTGAATATTATTATATTATTAATTAAATAATAATTATTATGAATAATTGATTATTAGTAATTAATTATAATTATTAGTAATAAATTATAATTAATATTATTAATAATAATAATTTGTTATTAATTATTAATATCTTAATAATATTAATAAATATTGATGTAATTTATATTTATTTTTAATGATTTTAATATTTGTATAAAATTATTTCTGCAAACGTTTATATCTTTTCCACTTTGAATTAAATTAAAACTTCCGCGCAACATGGCCGTCCTTCATGTTTAACGTTGATTGGTTGACTGTTGTATGATTCATTATCGATGTTTTGCAAGGAGGAAGACTTTAGGCTCACGCACAATACGTTCACAATTTTCTGTGTGAGCCTTTTCATTCTCTCTGGTTAGGTTAGTTTTAGTATCGCCTTACAAGTATAACGACAGAATATCACATTTCATCATTTTTATATTTGTTTTTTTTAAATTATTATTTAATTATGGAAAGTAAAGTAGTAAAATAGAATGTAGTGTGGATAAAAAAGCCCAGTCAAAGCAAACGTCGAACTGAGCAACGACGAAAGACGTTTTAGAGCAAATGAACAATCCTGATAAAGTTATTCCAATACCTCCTGCAAGAAAAAGGAAGAAGAAAAATAAGAATAGCAATGTGAAAGCTACTGAAGAATTAAATAGGTTTGAAACAATTTCTTCAAACATATCAATTTCACCAAAACCTACTATTAAAAAAGCGACAGATAGTCCCAATTTCCCGTCTGACTTGGAAGATTTGTCGCCACAACAAAAGTTTCAATCAGTCGAGGAAGCTCTCCGATTTCAACAATTTTTCTCATTCTCATCGCCGGATTATGACATTAGAAATAGAAACATCACCAATTTCTATATCTCCTTTAGAGACAATGTTAGAGCAGAAAACTAATAATAATTCTCCCTTTAAAGATAAATTATTACCAACCCCAAAACGAGTGTTGATTTTTCATCTGAAAAAAATTTAAAACAAAACAAGAGAAAGATTCCGTTTTAATTAAATATTTTCTAACTAATTTGTCATATTAGTTTTTTTATGTATTATATTATAGTTATATTATATATAATATATATAATATATAATAATCTATATAATATATAATTTATAGTTTATATTATATAATATAGTTATAATAAT